GGACTCATGTTGCCTGTTGAAAATTTTCAAGCTACATTATTTCTGACAAGAAAAAAACAAATAATAGTTGTTTTGGCCAATTTTTACCATAAGCAATGTCAGCTTTAGCAGATGCAGCCGAGCCCTGGCTTTCTCTCCATTGTCATGCCTCATTAAAGTGTGCTGACTCTGGTGGGTTCCCAGTCCTTTAGGTAAACACTTATTTACATGAACTGCGACATTTTTCTTTGGTGACAATTTCTAATTGTTTAAGCAACCAAGGGTGATATATTAAACACTTGGAAAAAGGCTTCACCTGTGAAACAAATTACTTTAAATTAACTATCCTTTCAAAAGAAAGGCAAAATTTCAAGATGGACAAATTAGACCCTTCTCAGGCACATATGGTAAGTGTTTCAAACACATCCCCACTGGTACCCACTCCAGAGAACAATTCTTCATGATGGAGTGGAAGACTTGCTGGCTCATTTGGGGGTCCTTTCCAGCTAGCATTTGCCCGCGATGTGCTCAGAAGGGATCCTGCTAGGGCTGAATGCCGTGTGGTTCCCTGAGCCTCTGTGTCTCCACTAACTCTGTAGCCTTTGCTTTCAGAGCTTAACTCTTTCTGAGGCAGACATTGACATAAGGTTGTCTCCACAGCATCTTCCATCATTTGCTCCCCTTTACACATGATTTCTGGCAACGTAAGTGGTGGCTGAGCATCTGTTAAAGTCGATCAATTAGTCACACCCCCCACATCTTCCGAGCTGGGTAGACTGATATCCTCAGCCCTGACTGGGGATAAGATAGGTCGGGCAAAATCAATCACCAACACGGCCGTTCTGAGATGTTCTCTTTGCGCAGGGTGCTGGGCTAAGTGTCTTGAAAAGTTGCATATTGAGAATCAAGGTCAGGGATGCTTCAGTGGCTCAGTTGGTTAAACATCTGCTTTTGGCTCAGGTCATGATCCCAGGGTCCTGGGATCAAGCCCTGCATTGAGCTCCCTGTTCAGCAGGGAGCCTGCTTCTCCCTCTCCCTATGTTGCTATTCCCCCTGCTTGTGCTCTCTCTCTTTCTCACTCAAATAAATAAATAAATAAAATCTTTTAAAAAATCAAGTCAAATTCCTACTGTCCTGGGTTGGATAGTGTCACCCTCCCCACATTTCATGCCCTTCCCAGAACCTCAGGACTTGCCCTTATTTGGAAATGGTGTAATTTCTGATGTAATCAGTTAAGGTGAGATCATAATGGAGTAGAGTGGGCTCCATACCAATATGACTGGTATCAGGCCCACAGAGAGGCTCAAGGGGGACAAACCCTCTCCAAGATGAAGGCAGAGAGTGGAGTGATCCATCCACACAAGCCAAGGAACGGCCAAGGACTGCCAGCGAGCACCAGGAGCCAGGAGAGGCACGGGACTGATTCTCATCCCACAGAAAGGGTGAACTTTGCCCACCCCCTGGTCTCAGATCTGGCTCTCACAACTGTCAGGGACTAAGCTTCTGTTGTTTCCCACCCAGTTTGTGACACTTTGTGACAGCCGCTCTGGGACACAAATACACATCCTTTAAACGGGGGTCCGAGGCAGCAAGGCCCCACATAGTAAATGTCACCATGTAACATCCTTCTGTTTAGCATCATTTGAATGCATTTTTAAAGGAAGTCCCGTGCAGAGTGAACAATTAGGCAAGTTTTACTCAAAAAAGGTAAGTGCATTTTTAGTATAGCTGGGACAATTTAATGAACACTAATTTGCTGCTACTTTTTATGAGAAATTTGAGCAAATGGAGAGATAAGTAAATGGACATGACTTTAGAGCAGCATTCCTGCTTCCTGTGGACATTGACTGTGTCTGTCCACAATTGGGTCTCCACTTGCACCTCCACCATGTGGTGGCTGAAACCGAGACACCTGTCCCGGGTGTGGGGCTTCCATCTCTGTTGATTAAAGCACATCCCACGCCGGATCTTCACCTTCTTCGCCCTGAGTCCAGAAGCTTTTTCTCTAACTGTGCAGTTTCCCCTCTCACTCTGGAGCACTCTAGCTGGGACTCTCCTGGTGGGGGAGAGCCTTCCTATCTCTGCCCACTTCCTGTACTAGTGAGAACCGGGACCAAGTGCCTTCTAACACTGAACTGGCAGACTCCTCTACATTCAGGGTGTCCATTCAGCATTAAGCAGAGAAATACCGGAAGCCAAAAAAAAAAAAAAAGTGATGCAGAACCCAACTTCCCTCTCCCCCTCTGCGGTCCCAGTGCCCACCAGTGCCCCCGGGCAAAAACCGCCTCCTGGGATGCCCCTTCGCCTGGGGGGAGGGTTCCTGCCAGCTCAGCTGAGGGTCTCACCTCTCTTTACAGTGGGGTTTTCTCTACAGACCACATGAGGGGATTCATGTAACTTGAAACCATACTCCTGCACAACAACAGCTGTGAGATTCTGCCAATGTGCTCTCATGCTTCCAAAACATGTGCATTAGCATGCACACATGGGTTTGCACCAGTTACTAGAAAGGTAGGAGGGCATTGCCCTAGATCCCAGACATTCCTCCAAAAGTTTCTGTCTGGTTGCATAGACAAAATCAGGTCCTGCTAGAAGAACCAGTGGATTGGTTGGATTGTGACTGTAGAATTCGAAGAGTGTTTTTAGTGGCATTATGGCTGAAGTCATAAATACTGTTCCCTCTGGTTTGCTGGAATCAGGTTGGGAGTGAAATTTATCCCAGGCTCACCGAAAAGTACCACCAGTGGCCCTGAATTGTGGCACTTTTCCCCTTGCAGCTACTCAGTGGAGAGCCAGCCCCAAGCAGACGCCTGGCTCTGGTTCTTCCTGGGGCCTTGGTCTCTTCTTCTAGACACTATTGTATTTCCTGGAGAAAGCTGAGTCCTTTCCTATATTTGTGTTTGTTGTGTGTTCTTTAATTAACACATACTTATCACTTTTAGATGCCTTCTCTACATTTTCCATCTTAATATCTTAGACCAAAATATTTTCCAGAGCTAGTTGAGTGACATCTGAAGTTTCACTTATTCTTACTGAAATAATACATTTCTGTTTCTATGTTTTTATCAACATCAACAAGTGATATGTGCTGCTTCTCACGGAGGAGCAGTTTGGGGGAGTTGGTGCTCGCTGTTTAGGAAGAGATGAGTCTGGGTTATTTTTTGATCATCCTACATGTCTCAGCCAATTTCAAGGTTAAATAAATTCTTTAAAAATTAGTGTTTTCATTCTTCATCAGATCTTTATTTGATATTTCTAAGAAAAAAGAAGTGGTAAAAAAGGGTAAGGCATGGGCAGGATTTGGAGTACACCCTGGGAAGAATCCATTTTAAATAAACACACATGCGCCAAAGAACCGGACAGCGTTTACTCCGTTTTTGTGCCTGAGCTTTTCCACCTCTTGAAAGGTTGCTCAGTGAAGCCCACATATGAACTTTCCAGGGATGAAGCAGTGGGGGAGACCGAGGGCATCCAGGGATCTGGAGACCCTGCAATGGAGTGATGGCCCAGCAGTTTGTGGGTAAGAGGTGTTTGGATGTCTCAGTGAGGCGACATAACCCACCCCACCCCTTGAGTTGCTTCATCCATCAGGCAAATATGGAGACTTTGGACCTCCTCATGTTGGTGACAGCCGGGTCCACAGCTGATAGGCTTAACAATAGGCTCATTTTGCCTATGTGTCATTAATGCCCATCCACCTGTGCACCACAGCCAGGACCCTGGAGGGGAGAAGGATCCGATCATAATCTAGAGGGAGATTTGAGCCTAGGCATGAATCCTTTGTCCTCCTTCCAAACCTATTCATTCATATGTGACTTCTGAGTGCTCCCTAGGTCCCAGGATACACCAAGGTGGCAGATGTTATAGGGTGGCTTAAAAGATTCCAACCATAACGACCTAAAAATATGTGTTGAAGTCCTAACCCCCAGTCTCTCAGAATGTGATCTTATTTGGGAATAAGGTCACTGTAGGTGTAAATAATTGAAATGAGGTCATACTGGCATAGGGTGGGCCCCTAGTCTAATAGGACCAGTGTTTTCCGAAGGTGGCCTATGGAGACAGAGACAGAGGAGGAAGAGGAGGGAGGGAAAGTGGCTGAGACCTGGAGCTTTTGGCCACGTGACCCCACTTGTCCTGCCCTCCCTTCGTCTGGCTCTTCCCTCAACACTGGGGGGCAGGGGAGCAGGTTGCGGGGGGCAGGGGATGGGAGGAGCCGTCAGAGTAGAGACAGGGCCCGGCACCCTCCTCCAGACTCCCGCAGGGTGTGAGCTGTGGGAGGCGAGACAGGGTGGGTGGGGAGAACGGAAGTTGTCTTTTGACCTCACCTGGGCTGGCCTTCTTGTTTAATTCAACAGACATAAGCTATAACAGCACAACATATGAGATTTTAATTAGTGACACATTAAAATATATAAAGGGGATATTGTTAGACATTCATGAATAACAAAACTATAATATCAGTAGGGGGATTTAACATACTTTCTCTTAACATCAAGTAAAAAAACACCATATAAGAAATTTCAATAATATAATTAGTATATAAAACATAATATAGCTAATATATTTAAACTTTGTACCGCATAAAGTATACACTATTTTTAAATATCCACTGAACACTTTTTTATTGTATTATTTGTTTCAGGGCTACAGGTCTGGGACTCATCAGTCTTACATAGAACCTTTTTAAAATGTATCACTTATTCCAAAAGAAAACACCAGTATATTCCCCCCAAAAGGAATGTTTAATTGTGACACAGTGTCTCATGACAATGCAATGAAACTAGAAAGAAATAATAGTTTAAAGAACTATGACAACACAGGAAAATTAAAAAAAAATCTTTTCCTGAGAATGAAAAAGGCAGGTCACTAAAAATAGGTGAAGGAGAAACAAACTTCAATTATTGAAATGAATAATAGAAGAATGGTCATAGGAAGCTTCCTGGGATGTGGCCATGGCTGTACCAATATGCAGATTGATAGCTGTTAACGTTTTTATTATTAACAACAATGAAAATAAACAACAAAAAAAACCCCATTCTATCAAGGAAGACAAAATAAAACAGCATAAACTTACCTGAGAATAGTAGGAGAAAGGAACTGATAAGGATGAGATCATCTATTAGAGTATGACAAAAATGATGAGAAAAATTGAGTGTTGACTCTTTGAAAATAATTTTTTTTAAGATTTTATTTATTTATTTGAGAGAGTGAGAAAGAGAAAGAGAGAGAGAGAGCACGAGAGGGAAGAGGGTCAGAGAGAGAAGCAGACTCCCCGCCGAGCAGGGAGCCCGATGCGGGACTCGATCCCGGGGACTCCAGGGTCATGACCTGAGCCGAAAGGCAGTCACTTAACCGACTGAGCCACCCAGGCGCCCCTGAAAATAATTTTTAAAAGTTTATTTTGTATGATAAAACAAAATAAAAAATCACCTTCCAAACGCACCAGGTTGCGTTGAGGGACCATTCACACAAGATGCAGAGATGATAAAAAATATGTCTGAATATCGTTGATAATCTTGATGACACAATGGGTTCCTAGGAATATGTATGATGAAAATTGACTCAGAGTATGAGGTAGAGCCCCGGACTGGGCCATGTCACCACATGAAACGAGAAAGAAACCAAACCATTTTCCTTCTACCTCCCAGAAGTGTAACAACCAAATGTAGTGGTTTCAAGGGTGATTTCCACTTATTTGCATCTTTCAACCTACAATTAATTTCTACTCGATATAAACTATTTCTGAGCATAGGAAAGGAGAAAATCTTTTCAATTCATTTTATAAAAATAGAAGATTCTTGATATCAAATCTTAATACAGATATAGAAAGAAAGCTATAAATCAATTTCACCTATGAAAAAGTCCTAAATAAAAATTTTTTGTTACCAAACTGAAAGAAACAGCATATTCAAAAATAATGATTTACTCTAACATTTGTTGAACGTGTTCCTGTGGAGGGCTTTGTATACACGAATCTCACTTAATCCTTGGCGACTGTGTTTAAGAAGAGGAAGGCCGGATGGCTTGATGAGGTCAAGTAAGTTGCTCATTATGGCGTAACCAGGAAGTAGTAGAGATGAGATTCGAACCTAGATTTTTCTGAGTCCAGATTCCAAACTTTTAAGAATGATCTACTGTGACTTCATAGTGTTCATTGCACGCAGGCATGAATCATCCCGAAGAAATCTGGGAGAATCGACCCCATTTGTAGGATGCAGGTAAAAACACATGTGCTTATTGTGTTTGATGCAGCCAAGTTATTTGATAAAATTGAACATTTCTTCTTGATATTAACAACAAGGAGATAAAGGGGATATGTCCTAAGCATGGAAACAGTATTTTATAAGATCATCAACCTGTGCCTGCCTGGTCTCATTAGAATCACATCTTTTACAGTTAAGAACAACCCAAGCTGATCATTATGATTCCTATTTAAATAGACTATTTTGTAAGTTTTATTTAATTTTTTTTAATTTAAATTTAATTAGCCAACTTATAGTACATCATTAGTTTCAGATGTAGTGTTCCATACATTATTAGTTGCGTAAATAGACTATTTTGTAAGTTTCAGAAAAAAGACACAGAATTACTCGAGACGAAGAGAAAAGATTAGAATGGTTTCCAGTTGACATAACTATTTCTGAAACCTAAAGAAATCAACTCAAACCACATTAGAGTTACCAAGACAATTTTAGCTGATTTTTAGCTAATATTTAACCATGTCAACTAAAATTTAATTTATAACTAATATGCATAAATTAGCAGATTCTTATTTAACACAAAACAGCCAAAAGTTGCATAGAACATACATTCCAGGCAAAAACATCTTACAATCTGTTACAATAGTGACAGAAATATAAAATAAGTCTGAATAAAATTACAAAGTGTCCTGGAAAAGTATTAAAAATTATAAAACTTTGCCAAGGGATGGAAAAAAGAAAGACTTAAATGAATATAAAGAATAATGTTCCTGTATGAGAAGATTTAGTAGTGCAGATGTCAACTTTCTCCTAATTCATCCACAAATTCAATGAATATCCAATTCTAGTCCCAGCGGGATTTAGGGTGGAACTTAACAGAATGTTGTTAAAGTTCATCTGGAAAAATAAATGGCTGAGAAGAGCCAAGGAAATTTTGAAAAATAAGAATAATGAGAGAGGACTTGACCTACTAGATATTAAAATACTAGAGTGATTAGAACAATGTGCTCGTGGTGCAGGGTATATGGATCAATAGCACAGAAAGAAATTTCAGGGAGAGACATAAATAATTTAGATATAACCAAGATGACATTTTAGGGTAGTAAGAAAAGAAAGGGTTTTTCAGTAAATAGTTAGGGGCAACTAGTTAAGCCTTTGGAAAAAGAAAAGTTAGATCCCTATTTTATACTTAGACTTACAATGAGCACCAGGAGGATCAATATTTTAAGTTTAAGAATGGATCTATTTTATATTAATACCAGGAAAAAAAATCTATGTAAAAGTTTATTTAATCTTTCTGTAAGCAAAGGTTTTTGTAAATGTGACAATCAAATGTTGAAACCAGGAAAGAAAAGTCACTGGGTTTGAAATTAGAAAAATATATTTCCAAGTTAAAAAATTAGATTGTAAAGAAACTATGAAAAATGTTTGCAACTTATATTACAGTTCAAGTGTCAACATCTTCAGTATGTTAAAATTTTTCAAATCACTAAAGAAGTATAAACCAGAAATCCCCCACCTTTAGGCCTTTACCCTCATACTCACAAAGTGCCTTCTCTGTCTCTTCCCCCCCTCACACACTTTGATTCCTGTCCTGTTAAAATAACAAAACCCAGATAAAAACAATGCATCCAGCACTGAGGGACTAGTTATCTTACGCAGTCATGACAAAGGATATGGTTTGATCATGGTATGATTATACGGGAAAAATCTCTAACCTCTGCTACTAACTGTGAAAGCAAAGCAAAGCACTGGGTGTGTGAATGCATGTGTGGAATGTGTGCGCACACGTGTGTGGAGCGGAAGTGTGGTAGGAATCAAAGAACATGACTTTCAGGGACAGGATTTGAGAAGAGGAGCTGGCATGGGCCCTGGGGATAGAAGGAAGCATATTGCTGCATTTTCTAATCTTGCACAGGCATTTTTAAAGAAGTAATGTCAGTGACATTCCTGGAGAGAGATTATTAGCAAGTTTAGTTTTCTTCTTTATGCTTCTCTGTGGTTAAACAAACCAACAAAAACTAATAAATATTAGGTTAAAAAATAAAATTACAGGAAGAAAAATATGCAGAAGATTTAAAAGGGTAATTAAATAAAAGAGAAGAAATGTAAATGACCAATAAGCATAAAATCTCTAAACTTGACTCGTAATGAAATGCAAATAAAAATGAGATACTCTTTTACTTATAAAATTACATATATAAATGTTTACTTATAAAAGCATTTTAATGAGAATATCTGATGTTGGGAGCGTGTAGGAAAATGGGCATAGCTGAAGGTGAAGTGTATGATATAGCCTGTCTGGTTACCAATTTTCCAGTATTTTAAATTCTACTTTAAGTTTTATCCTATGGAAATAATTATGGATATTAATAAAGACTTGGCTTCAGAGATTTTTTTTTTATTGCAGTATCTTTGGTGACAGGAAAACAGAGTGTAATCAGCTGTATATTCACGGTACATTCATACCATGAAATGCTAGGCAACCATTCAAAATTGTTGTGGAATACTATTTAGTATAAAACATTTAGTGTAAAATGTGGGCAATGAAACAGTCTGAAGGGGCTGACCCAAGGTTTAATTTGAAAAGTGTGAATTCTTATGGCAAAAGGTAGGGAAAAAAAATCACCAAAATGTTTAAAAATAAAAAAAAATGTTTAAATGGATATTTCTAAATTTTGAGACTGTGAATGATTTTTATCTTTCTTCTATAGGCTCATCCTTAAATCCCTGCAATCTGGATTCTCAGATGAGGTCTAGAGAATGGAGATATGCCTCGAGGACCAGTGAGCAGAAAGATACCTCCTGGCTTCTGCAGAAGACCAGGAAAGGGAAGGGCTGAGCTGGTGAAGAATATTCCAAGTATGTCCAGAGCTCCTCTCTGATATCTTCTCATTCTGTCCTGTGCACCCACACTGAATACAGTGTGAGAAGGTTCCCCCCCTCTACATACAGTCTGCTCTAGAGGAAAGCATTAGCTCACCCTGGATGCCCCCTCCCCCTGCTCTCAACTCTCAGAGCAAGATGGGCACTAAGGCTGGGACAAGCTGCCGACTGTGAGGTCCACGCTCTGGGCTTGTGATACCTCTCCTGGTTTAGGCTGGGAGAAGATCAGATACGAGATGGGAGCCAAACCCATGTGAGACTAGTAATGAGATACAGCCATTCTCCACACCACTGGTAATAATTTCCTTATTTCCGGATTTCTTTGAAAGGCAGCTGAGGTCTGGCCAGATCTATAGAAAATATTTGGAAAAGAGAAGAGACTAACACCAGCTCCTTAACACCAACCTGGCACGTGGCGGATGCTCAGTAGACATCTTTGAATGTGGAGTGAAGGAGCTTACCGACTTGGCCTTGACCTCACCTGCTGTACCCTGTCCTTGCTGGGCCACGCACCTCCCATCCCAGCCACAGTAAAGGTCACACCCTCTGCAGAGAGCCGGGATCCTCACAGCCCCAACTCCGTGCCGGCAGGGGCTTTCTCTTTCCTTTGTAGTCCTATTTCCTCTCTAAGACATGCCTGCACATGTCAGTCACCTTTGATGTAAATTGCGCCCCCTTTCATCCCATTTTATTGTCAGTGTTCTGTTTCCATCCTGGATTATTGCCCACTGTGCTAGATCATTCCTGGGACCAATGCTTATTGTTGCTCCAGGAGTGCAAGTGACTTCTCTTGTCCTGAGTGAGTTTAGGCTTTGTATTTCTTTGTGCACCTGTATCTCTTTCACCTTCTGTGTTTAAACATAATCACATAGCAAGATGGTGTGTCCTGAAATAATACACTCTATCTCCAGACACATATGTGCGCGCGCACACACACACACACACACACACACACACGCATGCACATACGGTGTTTTAATTATTTTGCACCTCTAAGCGTTCATAAAACAAACATTCAAGCGGAATGAAATTTGTTGCAAGTCTGCAAGGGGACGGGTGCCAAGAAGCAGCAGCCCTGCGATGATTTCTCCCCAGTCTCGTCCACTGGAGGGTCCCTTTAGGGCCAAACCAAATGGGTTGTCTCAAGGCTCACCCAGCACTTTGGTGGCTGGTCAGCATGGCTGCCCATTAGCCAAGTCAGTGGCGATCTTCATCCCAAGAATCTAGGATCTCAAGAGCATATTAACCTCACCGAGTTGCTCCAGGAAAAGGCACTTGAAGGATGGAGTGCTTACATCCAGGAGCTGGTCAGCTTTGCCACCCAGTCTCCTGCTGAGTCGTTGAGACCCATTTTAGATTTTATTTTGTTGTTAATTTCATGCTTTATGCTAAGTCCGTATTGAGTACTTAATCTTGTTAAGAAACATCCACAAAATATTTATTACTGGGAAACTTATTTCATAGGTAATTGCATTGCATTTTTTTCTTAAAAAACTTTTATTTTATGCCTTTTTGTGAAATAATTAAAAACATCATTTTCTTTTTGATCTTTGGGGGATTAAAACTATATTTAATCATGCAATGTTTTTTTTATTATTTTTGTTCTTGTGTTATAGCAAATGTACAGTGGTTTTTATCTCCTCTTTGTACTTGCAATAACATATTATTTGACCATGAATCACTTTAATGGATTGAAACATAAGCATGTGAATTGAAAAATAGATACATTAGTCAAATCAATAAATAAATATGAAAATATATTTCTACGATGAAAAACCATCTTGGTTACTGTGTCCTCCAACTTGGACAGAGAGAGCTGAAATATACGGCCGTAAAATATAGCTTGCCATGTCAACTAGCCAGTGCCTGCAGCCTAAAAGGAATTTTGAGCACTGGGTACGTAGTATTTCATCAACAAAATCATAAAATAAAGACATTAAAATGAAGGGATGATGGAGTGCTGCAGGACGTTTGTAAAATCACCCTTCAGTCTGAGGCTGGAGTAGTTTAGGATTAGACATTGCGTACTTTTCCTATAAATTTGCTTACAAATAGCACATGGGCCTTAACAAGCAGTGTTACCAGGCTGGCCCTGTAGCAAATACATTTCTACTATTGTTGCTAAACAAACTCAACTTGTACTCTACAGTATAGCTGGGGTTGAAATAAATAATTCATCTCCAGTCTGACAAAGTACAACTATTACAATCTTTACCCAGAGTATTTGTCTTTGCTAATTAATGACTGAACATAGCTCCTTTTAGCTATTCAAAAGCCAGCTACCCATTTCTTTATATACTTCTTCTTATGTGCTGTCTTTATTGGATGAAATCCCCTATTAGTCATAATCAATGTTCAATCTCTAATTTCATAAGATAATAAAATGGGCTGCAAGGATTATTAGTAGTTACATTGTGTAACTTATCAGTTATTTGTCAGATGAATGTCGGAATATAATTAACATGCATTATTTTAACGAATACAACTGAGAAATAAGGATTTTAAGTGACTTGCCTTTCTCAGAAACTAGGCACAAAATACAGCAAGGAGATCTGATTTGCATTTATTTACATATCAGCGTGATTTTTTTTTCTGTTGCAATAGTATTAGTTAATATCTTTCAACTGCAAATTGCTGCAATTTGTTTCATTATAATTTTACACTCGTTAATAAGATCAAACAGCATTAATTAAAAATCGTGAGTCCTATTGGATCAGGGACTTTCATAGAATAGATGTGAAATTAGGTAAGAGATTTATAGATTTTGGGTTGGATGGTGTTCTAAGGTTCCTGTCACCCATGCCATTTCCTGGCATCCCCGCATCAACCATCGCCAAGCACCGGGCACCGGGACCACCTCAAAGGGAGAAGGGGTGTTTCTTTCACTCCTACCAAGCACCGCCTCTGGACCCCCTGCCCTGCCCCCTTGCCCAGGGGCCCCGGTGAAACATTACGTGGCAGTGCACACCCACCCTGTGGAACCCAGGTCCACAAGATGTGAATATAGTGGTCATCCAAAAAGCCTTTTGGATTTTTCTCCTCTTTGGTTTAAAGCAGCATTATTTTGCTGGTCTTGGTGCATCCAAAGGGCCACTGACAGCCACCTAGGGAATCATGCAAGACCCTCCACTCAGATTTTAATTTATAATTTATGATTTATTTCCCCTTCCTCCCCAAGGTTTGTGGTGTGACCTGTCCTAGGACTTGGAATTGACAAAGCAGAATTTGGGAGGCAGAGCTCATGTGGCATTCCAGGTACCTGGCGTGGCCCTCTCCGGACTGTTTGGGAGGGAAGGATGCCCTCCAAGGAGGAGCTGAGTCTCAGGGGCTCTGAGACAGGACCCAGGCGAGAAATCCTGGGGTGCGTGCTTTGAACTGTAGCTGGCATCCTATTGAGCCACATCATCTGACCTCCCGAAGCGTGGCCCTAGGAACCCACCAGAGAACCGCAAGGCTAACTCTGTCCTCACGCACACATTTCAGCAATGAGAGCGTGGGCAGAACTCCTGTAACAAGAGGCAGGCTGGTTCTGTCCTCCTTTGCAGGGGCAGGGACCCGCGGCCTACCTGGTGACCAGCACAGGAAAGATCTGCTTTGAGGGGTCATCTGACTGCCCCACATTCAACTGTGCCAGTTTCAATGAGCACTTTTTATGAAATATTTTATTCAGGGCAACTGGTGTGACACTGAGTTGGCTTTTCCTTTTTTTTTTTTTTTTTTTTCTCTCCCTTCGTCTTTCTTCCCCGTATTTTCTGGTTTATTCTCTGTCCAGTTGGTTTTGGTTATAATGTAGCCCACCCACGTGCAGGTTTCAGAGATGGGTGAGTAAAAGTCAGAAACAATTCAGGGTAATTGTGGTGAAAGCTTTGTAGAAAATCTGCAAATACCAGGGATGCATTTGTGGAATAGCCTAGCATATGATTTTGGAATCAATAGTTCAAATTTCTTGTTCTTTTCAATTGATTTCTTTTGTGTGTGTATGTGTGGGGGCAAATATACAGAAACTCATCTGAATAAAAATTATTTTTGAGTCACAGATATGTTAACACCATTTAAATGCCAAATGGGGAATTCTGTATGCACATAAACATTTCAAATAATGCCAGTAAAAATTATAGTGACTCATTGTATAGACCGCCCTGTTCCAGCAAGATTGTGAGCACGGGGCTATTTCTGGATCAACATCATGCTTTATTTAATGCATCGACCTCAACATACTGTTGTCATTAAAGTTGCTAATAAATGGGGTTTAATTTTTAATGCAGTAAATTGTTTATTGTACAGATGCTGTGTTCTTCTTTGAAGAGATCGTAGGGCCATTTCTTATACAAAGCACCTTCCATTTTCAGAAAAGCCAGACTTACAGCTTCAGCTGTATTTCTTGCGTCTGTGTCCTCATTCCCTGAGTGTGAAAACTTTATTGCTCATTATCTACTGGGCTGTGATGAAGTGACAGATGATTTATTGGGAGCCAAAAACTGTGTTTCAATGGCGAACATTTTTATCCTTTTGTAGTGCAGCCCCTGCTAGTCTCCTCCAACGGCCGAGGCAACAAATAAAGAAAACTCGCTGCTGGAGAGCCACACGCGCCCACATTTCAGATCTCACTCTGGTCCTAATTTGATTCAATTCCCCTTTGTTGCTTTAAAATTCAATTTGTTTAATTGAGCTGTTTGACAGTAAAATCTGAATTCCATGCATTTTAACCATTCATATTAAATTTCCCTCTGTATAGTACTTTTATTAATGTGCTTTACAGGCAAAGGCGTAATTTAAATTTGGTGACCTCACAAGCTTATAAAAAGATCTGAATTCTTGTGTTTTTTTCCCCCTCCAAACCTAAATTAAAATGAATAAATGCAAACCAGGGGTACAGTTGCGATTTCTTTACCGAGTTTAATGAGTCAGGGAAAGGAAGACGCCGGAGCTTGAGGGTATGAAGTGTGAAAGTTTGTATGTATGTGTTTTATGTGTGTATTTTCATATTTTAATAGATGACATAATGTTGTGGCAGAAGTGCAAGTCTAAATGACCTGCCTTTAACGGTTAAAAAAGCAAGTCTCTCTCTTCCATTAAAACGGTAGTTGAGGCATTGTATAATGGATTATACATTGTCTGCTTTTTTACAGGGTTACACATTTATTGACATTTAAATAGCTGAACATCTTTTCCTTTAGGATTAATAAGATACCCAGAAACCAACATCAGATTTTTAAGGTTTACTAAACTTTAATCTGTAAAATTTAATAGCAATATCCGAGTCATTATGTGTATGTAGAATGCCGTGTGACTTTACAAACACTTTTAAGCAATGAATTATGTTACAAGAATGGGTTGGCTGTGTATCATTATGTCCAGGTAAATGCCAGAATGATGACATAATTGGTAGTTGGGAGTAAAATACAACCCCTGTAAAATGTTACTAAGGTAAATGTGGAAGGATTGTAATTCGTTATATATAAACATGACTTCTAGGTATTTATCATTTTATGAAATATCGACTAACTTGATTTCACCAAGCGTTGTTTCCTCTTGCCTTTGTTACTTTATTCAGCAGCGTGAACATGTCCTGTTTCAAAATCGCTAATTCCTTTTCATTCTACCGTTTTCCAGGGTACCCCAGTGAATTTTAAGTCTCTTTTCATGCACTGGAGACTAAGTATTCTGTAAAA